TGTCTAGCAGGTGATCGTTTGTTCGGATGCGGACGGCAAATCGGTTTAAATTCGTACAACAGGAACAAAGTATAACTGGGATTACAACTCGTAAATGTGTCAGTTCTTTTGAATAAAAAAACAACAGCGTTGGTCACCTAATGTTTAGTTGATGACTGCTTTTGGATTGTTGTTAGTTGTGCCCAACATTCTACTCTAAATCACAAAGAGAGATTTTTCATGTTAAAGTAAAGCAACACGAAAAATATGCCTTGTAAAGAATGAGGACCCCGTGTTGTGCAAAAAAAGCCTATCACTATTGTAATGTATTTTGTAGTAGTATACAGTTGTGGAAAATTTACTAAAACTAATTTTATCACAGTATTGTGTTTCTGTTCAAAATTTTTTACACGACAATTCAAATAAATATTAGATCTAAAGTTGACTTGTGCAGTAAAAGTTCTTTATTACACTTGCACCTTTTACACCTTTATTATATTACATATATTTAATAGCTTAGTTCTGACATATATGCTGCTACGTTTTGTCTTCTTGATATTCATTTTGGCTCTGAATATTTTTTTATTTATTGGCACTTTTTAGTGATATGTGATAAGTAGGCTTAGTGCACGTGCAGAGTTTAACAGAGCCGGCGCTGGGGTCGGTGGCCTTCACAGCTGACTCGCGTTTTGAACTGTTCAGTTATTTACGGAATCTTGTAGTAGTTGGTGTCCCGTCGATACTTCTCTTTTTTACGTCTGATGTAAATTCTATTCGCTGTGTGTATTTAATAACTATTTATAAATAGTAACATAATTTACGTTAACAACTATTAGTTGGGGGGAAAAGTGAAATAAAATGCCAAAAGAGAAAAGAAATAGACGGGAATTATTTCAAATGTGGTTTGACAGTAATCCCGACGGTTACAGGGACATACGAATTAAAGGAAATGACCTGTTTTGTACTGTGTGTGAAAGCATTATAAATTCTTGTGACAAAATTAAAGTGATAAGGCATTTGAAGAGCCATGCCTTGTTCAGTGCTGAAGATTCTGTATTTTTCTATGTACTTACAGACGCATTTCTTTCAGGCGATATTCCAGTAAACGAACTAGAGAACCCCAAGTTCCGTAATTCTTTAAATTGGAATCACATGGACTATCCCTAAATGAACAATTTTATATAATGGATGATGAACAAAAAATATATACGATGACAAATAATATACACCCAGTCAGTAGTACGGTAAAAGAAAAAATGCATAGAGTGTTGGAAAAAATCCACGATACACAATTTTGAAAACTGTATGTATAGTTTTATCAGGAGTTACCAGCAAATATATTAATATATTGTTCATACCTCAACAGTTTCTCATACTGTCCGTTGTCAACAGTAGACGTTGAATGGTCATTTTCCCTACACCAGTTAATATTAAGTGCTAAACGTCGCCGTTTCACTAAAGATAACTTTTTCTAAGCACGTAGTAATATGTTTTAACTCCTTCTAATATGTCACGGAAGCTTTGTCTCAACACTAAGATTTATCGGGTAAGTGGTGTCATTTAAATTTATATAGGTATTGAATCCTCTACTTAGCCTTGCTCTTTGGTATTAGTACTATGTTGCGATATATTTTCTGTAAACATTTCATTCGCGATATGACTACGGTCCTGTTAAACTCCGCTCCGCACTAAGTTTAGTGATAAGTAGAGACATAAGAAGTTGTGATTATCTATAAGAGTGTTTCTCACGTTAGTTTGCTTACTGGACTTTGTGTTTTATTTCAGAATTGTACTATTTTTGTCCTATACTTATGTGTTCTGCTTTTTCAAGTTTATTTAATGGAATCATTGTTTAAATAAAATTTCCGTTAAGTAACGAATTGCTTCTCTATCCTATTAATGAGCTGCATGTATTTAGTTAATGAAACAACATAGTTTCGTTTTATTTCGTAAAATATTTAGGCTTTGTAATTTAAATAGGTGGTACCTAATTTATGTCTACAAGAAAATCTTTCATTTAGATATAAAAAGCTGTGCCATATTTTATTTCTAGTATTGTTACTACCTTCTAGAATACAATTTAGTGTAATACAGTTAATAATAATTTATGTCGCAGTACGTGCTGTGTGCTTTTAATCAAATTAATTTTTATAATTTCCCTGTTAATGCTACGAGTACTTACAGCTTTTTCTTGCAAAATTTATATCGAAAAAATCCATATCACTAAGCACTTTTCTACAATCTTTAAATTACAAACTAACCTAGTATTTCAAATCAAATTAAAATTATTTGTATTCTGTCATCTTGATGAACTATTCGGAAAATCGATTTCTTATCACATTTATGCGGGAAATATTGCTCCATAAGTTATTACACGTGCAATTTGATGTCAAATGGTCCGTGTGTTATCCTTTCATCCTTCATGAACAAAATACAATAAAACAAAGACCCGTTGAAATAGGGTACTTATAATTTTTTTCATGGCAGTATTAAAAATACTTTTTGTAATCCATTATTTAAATTTTATAGTACACCGTAAAATGGTATATTATGATTAACGTTTGATATAGTTCCAGAATTAATAATTGGTTTTCCACAATGTATAATTTTATAAATGTACAAAATTCTAATTACCACTGTGTAGTGTAAATATTATCCATGAATTGTTGAATTTCTATAATAGTTATCAAATTATTGTAAAGCAATGTAATTTCGTTAATGTGGCGACTTAATAAAATAAATTCCTTTTTTCAATTTCGTTTTCTTGGGAGACTCAAAGTGTGAAGTATACAATGGGAAAAGAAAACTAATGAATTGAAAGCAACTGAATAAGAAATTCGAACTATTCCACAGGATCTATTACAGCTATGTGCAACTTTACCCGCTACTTAAATTCACGTAGAACTGCAGGCCAATATCATTTTCCGGTGGTATGGTACTTTTCTCTCAAAATATTGTATACATTTTTGTATTCTCTATACGAATTTTTCACATTTTCATGGACCGAAGAATTGTTGCAACAATAATCAACAGGACTCTAAGGATTCTTCAACAAAATACTTTTTATCAACAAAGTTATAAAACAACAAAAAGTTTTTCTAATATTCTATTACCTATGATAAAATAATAAATAATCCTTCTACAGTGGCTATTTTTGCCATAAATAGCATATCGTCTGTTTTTGGACCGCTTTTTGAAAAATTCCTAGCTTACTTTTAGGTAAACATCAGTTTTACTTTCGCATAGTACTTTGCAATACTGAAACACGCGTTTTTCTTTTACGAAAAACATGTGCAATATGTACAATAGGGTGGCCCAAAAAAACGAATATTTTTTTTCGTGTTTATTTTGAAAATATGTTAGTTTATCATGTTTTAAGAACCCCCTCAACAAATCAGCTCAAATAAAATTTTTTAGAGGTCGCTCAAGATTTTAAAACATTTCCAAAATCGTCAAAAATTGAATTTTTTTGTTTTTAATTTTTTTTCTCGTTATTTTATCATTTTCTAGGTTGAAAAAAATTTCGATTCTGAAAATTTCAAATCGATATTTTAATTTCTAAAGTTCACTCATAATTATTTTAACTTTAAAAGTGGTGTACCTAAAATGTTTAAATGTTTTCGAGCGACCTCTAAAAATACAACAAACGAATAGAGATAAATCACGAGACATTTAAAAAATTTCTAGAGGCAAAATTTACTACCGCACTGAGTTTCAAATATTTATAATTTTTTAATTTTTTAAAATTTAAGTCGTGATTTACTTTTATTCTTTTGTTCATCAAATTCAACAAAAAAAAAATATTAGTTCGTTGATATTTATTTTTAGAGGTCGCTCGAAAACAGGTACACTACTTTGAAAATTAAAATAATTATGATTGACCTTTAGAAATTAAAATATCGATTTGAAATTTTCAGAATCGAGATTTCTTTCAACCTAGAAAATGATAAAATAACGAAAAAAAAAAATTAAAAACAAAAAAAATCAATTTTTGACGATTTTGGAAATTTTTAAAAATCTTGAGCGACCTCTAAAAAAATTTTTTTGAGCTGATTTTTTGAGGGGGTTCTTAAAGCATGATAAACTAACATATTTTCACAAGAGACACGAAAAAAAATATTCGTTTTTTTTGGGCCACCCTAATGTACAAGGATTTCTAAACATGCATGGAGCATTTGTAAACAGAGGTAGAGCAATTCGGTAAAGTCAGCAGTTCCAAAAAAGTTTTCATCGTATCAATGTGGTAAAAAATATTTTTGTTAAATGAGTATTCGTATCTCAACATAAGGTTAAATTTGTAACCATTTGTAACTAAAATAAGAAATATATATTTAACGTTTAGTGAAATATTTTTCGAATATTTCCCAAACTGCATTAATGAATAGGTACATACATCATACTTAAATAAAAGTTATTAGTGAGTTAGCTCATTGAATTCAAAGCCATATCTGTCGTCAACTCCAATAGTTTTAAGATAATTATTCACTAGCTTGTCATTGAGTTCTCTCTTTAGCCTAAAGTAAACTAGCTCCAGATCGTCAAAATTGATAAAACGTAATAATAATATACCTAATAATTTTTTTCGATGTTCTTTTATCAATTTTATGTTATGTTCTGTATAATCTGACATACCCTCGTCCACTCCTAACTGTGTTATAAGAAATAGTTGTCTCTGTTAAATCTTTTTTTTTTTTGATTTTCTGTGATGATGAGATGTAATAAGTAACTGATGCTAAAAATGTAATCTATTACTGCTAGATTCATATAAATTCCTCATAATATGTAATTTTAACAGTGTCAAAGTTATCCTAAAAGCTTAACTGGTCGAAATTTGAGATAGTTATCTTATTTGTTCTTGACATATCCGCTGTAAGTTTGTAAATATGCACTCTGTATATATCTATTTGTGTGAACATTTACCCTAAACTAGTTTTAATACCTAATGAATTCAGTTCACTATTAAAATAAGATATTACATTATGGAATATACAGATAACTCTTATAAATGTAACAGAACTCACCAGAGTGATCGGTAATCGATCGGGTGGCCGATGGGGGTGTATGGGCGGGTGTGTGTGCGTGATGCTCATGAGAATGGGGCAGACCCCCGTATATTGCACTAAAGTCCTCCGCTGAGGACCCACTGGTACTATTGCACTTCCTAGCAGTCCCTTTATCCACGTTATTGCTAGAACCGGTCAGATGGCCGTGGTGGTCCTCCAACAAGCCCCCTACTCCTAACAGGTTCCCCACACCCACCAGGTTTGGCCTCAACTCGTCCATCATCGCCTTGGACTGGGGGCAAGCGTTAAAGTTGAGCTGCCTGCTGAAGATGGCAGGGAAGATATTGAACTGCTGATGGGACAGATCCTCCGAAGAAGTGGGCACTGAGGGGGCAGGGGAGGAACCCAGAGCCCCCAGGCAAGATGACACACCCTTGAAATCCAACTTGATGCCTGATTAGACCTTGGGTGATGCGTTGGTCATCGAGACCAAGACCTGGGTGTTTGGTTTTGCTGGTATGGTTGTGTTGGGATAAAACTTTGATTTTGATACTGAGAGTAATTGCTTATGGTCGTTTTGTTGCTTTTCGACTTCAGTCTTGTTCGTGGTTTTAACACTTTGTTAAATTTAATGTAATCACAGCACTTAACACACTTGCTGGTGCACCACCTTGCAGCAGTATCTGAAATGGGAAAAATGAAATGATTGAAAAATCAGTTGGCAGTATCCACAAAAGTAATCATTTATTTAGCAAACATTCCCGAACGCCTATGTTTTGGTCACTGATCTCGACAGTGCCTTTTGGTCATTTTACGAAAGGCTTTTTTCTAATTATAATCGTGTATGTCGAGCAGATTAAACTATTTAAATAACATTTGTGAGTACTAATCTGTCAAGAATGGTAAAAACTACATGTTACCCACTGTTCTAACCACCTGGAGTGATTGATAGAGTGAATAATTGAGGCAACAATTAGATTCCGTCGGATCAGCGCTAAGTTTGGTAGACACTTAGGAATTCGTGCTAGTTATTTATTTAATTGCTGTAATGAACGTGAATTTAGTTCTGGTTACTGGGAGTAAGATGAGTGTTTATAAAACTTATATTGGAAGCTGTACATCTTATAATATTTTAAATTTATTTGAATTTACTTTAAAAAAAGAATTTAGGTGTGGTATTTGTACAAATAAACAGTGATATGTTAATGAAAACAAAAAATAAGGTAAAAATAGATGGTGGTCGATTTCAGTTTGAAGAGATTTTGAATTAAAATGATACTGGTAATATTAGGCATATATATTAATCGTTATAAGTTGTTAATTTTTTATTGGATTGTGAAATTGGTTCCTATTGCTTTCCATAGGTGTAGGTACTAGTTTTATTAAATATTAAAATTAAGCACGTTTTAGAATTTTTAGACAGTGTTATAATTTTCATTTTCAGAATAAATTTCAGCAGTTCCGTTTTAGTGTACCGCAGAAAAATATTTGAAAGCAATTATATCTACATCTTTGCATTGCATCTAAATTTATATTTTGTAATGAAATATTGAAAACGTACTAGAAATTAAGGGGAAAATATATTTAAATCTAAATGAGATTTTTCTTGAGATCCAATTTTACGCACGTTTTTCAAACAGATATCGTATTTATTTAAACAAACAGTAAAATACATACCTCTGTTAATACATTGGATCACCGATCACAGAAAATGAAAGAACCGTTCCGATTTGCCTCATATTCGACAACAAACACCTGTCCGCAACTCAATCGCAAACAATTGACTTTCCCTGATATTGTTAATATCTGTGACTAACTTAATTAAATTTTGGAGCACAGTTAACTTGGATCTAAATATGACTAGCTTATGTCTAAGCCAAACACCAAGTGAATATAACGACATTAAATTGTGATAGCCTTGTTCTGTTATCAGGATTCTCCCTGTACAACCCCGGCGTGTTCCGTCCTTGTCCGCCGCGTTGGGGTGAAAGCTCCCAAGAGCTGAGACTTGTGTCCTTGCAAGCCTAATCTAGAAAGCTCTGTGTACAACTAGTACACGCCAATGGAAGGCGCAGCGTGTGAGCCTACGCGAACCGATTGGTCGGAGAGGGGGTGGTTCGCCCTAGCAACGCCAATGAAGGGAAAGTCGCTCCAAAATGGTGGAATCCTACCCCGAAGCAATCTTTCGATTTTTATATTTTGACACAGAGCTTTCCATTGTTTTTCAGATAAAAGTGGTGTGTTCTCCACGAATGGCTGTTTGCGAAAAAAGGAGACTGGTTTAAATCGAAATTAACGCTGTACGGCTTTGTGTCAAAAGCGCTTTATGAGCTTATTTTTAACCGATTGATTTTGGTAATTAATCTTTGTGATACGTACGGCGTCCTACCTATTAGTTTAGGCCAGACAATAATGGCTTTTAATTGAAATAGTCACTGTCCTTTTTAGATTATCCATATGCAACATGAATTAGTGTTAAGCCTTCATTGCAGAAGCAGCGACAGTTTGTTATCAGTTTTCAAGCGGAAACTGTACACAAAAAATATTGAAAATTTACACAATTGTAGCACTGTTGACTGTAATATGGAAAATACGATTAACTATACCACATTTTGTTAAATATGTTCACTTTATATATTTTTTATAGGATGTATATAAATTGTGTTTAATAAATACTAATAAAATCCCAAAATTTCATAATTTTCTTTGAAAATTTCTATATAGGGCAGCATTTTTGATTTCAGGTCGTCGATATTGCTATTTTTTAATTAGTTTTTTAATTGATAAGCATAACGATTAATAGTGAGAGTGAAATTATTAAACTTTATTTATTTGTTTTAATGTGGTGCATATGCATTCTTAAAAAATCCTGTCATACTAATCATTGATATCGTGAATTAGTATCAAACCATTACCTATTTTTTAAATGAAACATACATACCTATGTAGATGACACTACTATACATCTGTAGATGATGATAATGTGGACATATTACAAGAAAGATTCAACTCATTTCACGACAGGTTGACATTTACAATTGAAATAGAAAAACACATTTTTAGAAATTCATATGCCTACTTACTGCTAACGAGGGAAAAAATAATCAAGTTAAAGCTACTGCTATTAGAAACCCATACACTCAGAATGGCTTTTAAATTATTACTCAAAACATCCCTTATCAATGAATATGAACATAATAATTAATTTGAGACATAGAACTCTTAAGACATCTAATGAAGATTATTACCAACATAATCTCAATAATTTCACTCTGAACCTTTATTGCTTTCACTCACACCGATTTTTTTTACAATGATAACTCCAATTTTTCTTAATGTGTATTGAATTATAGTCAAATGTGAAATGAATTGCACTGTGTTTATATTACGCTTAAAAAATATTAACTTAAAATAATTCGTTTCTATGTAGAATGAAATGAAATCTTTTAATACTCGAAAAGTGGCGTCAAAATTCTAGGATTCTTAGTGAGGGTGCTTTTCCGCTACTGGTTAAAATAATTGTACACATATTCAATGGATATTCATTTTTATTTAGTTGCCAGTAAAAATACCCTGTAACTTGCACATTGATTTTCTTTGTCCTAAGGTAGGTACACGGACAATACACTGACATGAAAATTCATGCAATTATTCCTAAAATTGTGATAAGAGAAAAATTCGACCACTGTGAAATTATTATCAACAATATTCTAGGTTTTCTCAAATTTTGTGACGATATGGTATGAAAGTTTGATACAATTTCTTCCTGTTGCGATTCTAGGGTTGTTGACTATAAGAAGAAACCATATACAAATTGTTGTTGATACAAAGATTTTATATAAAAGAACCTGTCTGTATATAGTAATATTTTAAATATATGACAAATTAGTAGTAGAAATAATTTATGAATTTTTGCGTTACTTAAAAACTAGTCTGACGTCATAAGGGGCAATTGAACAAGAAGCTAGTAGCGATCTTGCATAATTTTGAAGAAGAAGAAAATATGTCAAAATTGTCCGTCAAACCCTGTTGCCCTGTTTCCTGTTTTTTAAACAAAAGTGACACTAGTGACAGCAGTCTATCAATGAAGAGTATTTGTGATAGTTATTATTAATTTCCTGAACATAAAATACCTATTTATATTATTTTTTATTTATTTTATTTATATTATAAATAAACACAATAAAATCATTCATTAAATAACGAGCGTTCAAATAAAACGTGGTCGAAGTTGGCTCACACATTGTACGTAGGGAGTAGCTTATACCTCGGTGGAAATTCATGTTCAGCATTGAGACTTATTAGTCGATTTTGGAAAACTTCCCTCAACATATTCATCGTCTCGCCTGCCGTATGTACCCTTGCGCCATCTTGTTGAAAGTAAAAGTTTGTAATTTCGTTTTCTTCCAGCTGGTTAACAAAAGGAGCGATAATTTCTTCTCTATACCTTTGCGCAGTAAGAGTACCATTAAAAAAAATAGGTCCATAAATCCTCCTTCGATTGAGAGCACACCAAACTCCAATTTTTTGAGCGTGTAGAGGGCCCTCGACAAAAAAGTTATCTGGTTTTTCAGAAGACCACATTCTCATATTCTGTGAGTTTACGTAACCACTTAAATGAAACCAGGCTTCATCAGAAAAAAAGGTGATATTATGAAGTTCACCGTAGTTGTTTAAAAACCATTCACAAAATACAGCCCGTCGCGGAAAATCAACTTCATGAAGTTCTTGCTGACAAGTTAAACGATAGGAGAACAAACGCAAATCTTTTTTTAACACTGTGTGGCAGGTACCGACTGATACTCCCACCATTTGTGATAAAACACGTACAGAAGTTCTTGGCGCATTTTCCATTATTTGTTGGACATTTTCTTTTAATTCTTCAGTCCGCTTTTTAGGTCGGCCGCTTCCTTCTTTTCTTGTTACACTGCCCGTTTCACGAAAAACATTAACACAACGCTGAACTGCACTTTGAAAAATTTTGTACTCAACAACGCCGGGAAATTGATTTTGAAATTCTATGAAACATTCCTCAATAGAATACTTCCATATTCCATCAATCTTGCGTCCATTTCTAAAGTAGGACTCTATGATAAACACTTTTTGTTCTTGAGAAAACACCATTTTAAACGCTTTTTAAAACGAAAATATTCAAATTGATAGCGGCGATATAGCGCTTTGACAGATGACGTTTAAGTTCATTTGCTATACGCTACGCCCTACGTCCAAATTTTCAGAACCAACTTGACCACGTTTTTATTTGAACGCTCGTTATGTTGATCCCTACCTGACTGC